TTCTTTTGCCTTGGGGGACAATAGACAAGGTTAAATTCCCTGAGAACAAAATTTGGAACTGAGGTCAGTGGGTTGCAATGGTGTGGATTTCTTTTCTTTCTTCAGTTGCATCAGTTTAGTAATACCATACAGCATCTACTAGTCCTGATGAATATATATGTTACCTGTGCTATCAGAGCTTCTGAATAACAGTTGCTGCAGAGCATGAGAAGGAAGATTTTGCTGCACACCTGTTCTGCTCGTGGGCTTCCTGTAGCCTTTTTCTTGGACAATTTGGAAACAGAATGCTGGACTAGCAAGGCCTGACTCAGTGCAGCTGATCAAGCCTTGCCGCTCTTATGGTCTTGATCATTTTGCCGCACACCTTTCCTCTAATAACACGAAGGGCATCCTTCACCTCCTTGTTTCTCAGGCTGTAAACCAAAGGGTTCAGCAATGGGTTGACGATTGTATAGAACACCGTGAGAATTTTCTCGCTCACATCTTGGGCAGCAGATCCCTGAGCAGACCTCCGCCGGAAATGCAGAATGAGAATTGACCCATGGAAGATGGAGACTACGGTTAGGTGTGAGGTGCAGGTGGAGAAGGCTTTGAGCCTGCCTCTGACTGAGCTGATCCGCATCACTATGTTGGTGAGAATACACGTATAGGAGACCACGACACTCAGGACGGTGACTATCTCCACCAGACCAGCTAAGAAAAAGATCAGGAGTTCATTGGTGTAGATATCAGAAGACGAGATGGAAAGAAGCGCAGTGATGTCACAGAAAATATTATCGATCAGCCTGCACTCCGAGAATGATAGCCTGAAGGTAAAGGCCATATGAACAAGTGAATGCAAAAGCCCAAGAGCGTAGGATCCCACCACCAAAAGCATGCAGGCGGCAGGGGACATGAGCACTGGGTAGAGCAGCGGCTTGCAGACGGCAACATAGCGGTCATAGGCCATTGCCGCCAGAAGGAAGCATTCAGTGCTCCCCATACCTATATGGAAGTACATTTGCATTGCACATCCAATCAGGGAAATCGACTTCTTATCTTCTAAAAGGTTTGCTAACGTCTTGGGGGCAATTGTAGAAGAGCAGCACACATCCAGGAAAGAAAGGTTGCTGAGGAAGGAGTACATTGGGGTATCAAGGCGAGGACTGGCCTTTATTAAGGCAATCATTCCCAGATTTCCCACCAAAGTGCTCACATACACAGCTAGGAATATTACAAAGAGGGTGTTCTGCAGAGCAGGGCTCTCTGTTAAACCTACAAATGCAAATTCCTTGACGGTTGCAGTGCTGTTCTCTTCACACATTTTGTATTTCGTCAGAACTGGCTGCAAAACATGCAAGTAAAATATTGGTTAATCATACTGTTTCTTTAAACTGCACTTCCTCAGGCATGGACATTTTAAATTGTTGCCAGCTGATGGGCAGTAGTAGTGTCCACATAGCTTTAAAAGTGGGCTGGACAAATCATAGGCCAATGGATGACCATGATGCAAAGATGAGCAAAATGTAATGAAATTTCACCTAGGAGGGGAGGCTTGGAGGAAAGGAATGGACCAGCTCCTTGTCTCATCCCCCACCACTACATCCTTTCTTCTGGCCCCTTTCACTCCACCTTTCAATACCTCCAGTTTGGAAATCTCTCCCACATTCAGCCGGCCAGCAAATCATGATATTTCTCATTTTATAGAACTAAGAAGTATGACTTTTCCTCTGCCTCCTTGCTAAAGCTCTCATCAATGCACCGATTATTTCTCACCCTGGCCTTCCTCTCCATGTTTCAGTTGTCTCCCATCCGTTCAACACTTTGGTGCCACCATCTCTCTTCCCTTGTTGACTATGTGGCATGCCTCCTTAAGCGACCACACTGCCCTCCTGCCCATTTCTAGAGCCGACACAACTTTGTCACACTAAATTTGAAAGCCTTCCAGGGCCACAAGCTGTGCAACTTTGCACCTTCACCTTCTCACATGGCCCTGCTGCTGCCCTTTGCACTCCAGGCCGCCACTTCTGGCCATTCAAAGACCCCCTCTTCCTTTACATCCCACCCCAGCTCAATCCATTCTTTTTAGGTAAGAGACCCCTTATGGACATGAAACCACTTCTGTTTCTCTCATCCCTCTTTCAAAATTTGCTTTTTCTCTGAGGCCTTTGGTTGCCATCCAAGGCTGACCTTACATTGATATCTCTAAATGTAACCTCCACAGAGGCAATTTATCTCTGACTATCAGGGGCTGGGGACAAGGAACATGAACATTTTTGTGTTAAATGGTCAACATTAATCTATGTAATCTGGAAATTCATAAGCCAGAGAGAAGAAAAATCCATCGAGCAACCGGCTAAAATGCTCCCCATCTTTAGAGAGAACTTCAGCAACTTCTTTAATCTGTTTTTAATTTTTCCTCATATTTACCAGAATATTTATAAATGTATGTTTGTTCTATAACACCCTATAGGTGAAGCTCTCTGGACAGTTCACAGTGATTAATAAAAACAGAGGGCATGAATAGGGCATTGCTTTTCAAGTTCACAAACCTGAAAAATAAATTTAATAGCTAAAGATATTGTAGCACATACAATCCTGTTAAAAATAGCTGACATAAGTGCCGCATCATGCCATTAAATACCCTGAAATGCCAGTTCCGGGAGAGGGCCATCTTGAACAGGCACCAAAAAGATGACAGAGTCAGCACCAGGCAGGCCTCAGTGGGAAGAGCATTTCACACCTATGAGCGTCTTGAGCATCTTGGAGATAAGAATGAGCTGCTAGGGTCATTTACCTCAGTGGAGAGTCCCAGCAGCACTCCGTCTCGCACACCCCTTCCGCACTCTTCTGCACATCAACATGTTTTCCATACTCCAGGCCATTCTGGTCTCCGTGCCAAGCTTTTCCAGAATTCCATGGATTGTTTCTGAGCTCTGATCTGCTTATTTCATAGCTCGCTGTTCCGAAACAGTATATGGGATTCTCTTCCATTTCCTTTCTGAAGCAGTTTCAGGTCTAAAGTGTTAGGCTTTTTTCCTTAATGCAATCATGCAGCATTGGTCCAAAGCTAAGCAAGGTCCGTGCGTTTCATCAGAAGAGTGCTGCCAATTCACATGGCAAACAATGCCACTTTTGGAGGCTAGCTTTTCACAAACACATCCCTCAAAGTTCTGGGTCTCAAGAGGAATCCTCAACACTACTAATAATTCCTGGTAGATAGTAATATAAATATTTGTTTAATGGTGTGACCTTATGGGCAAAGTATGCAGCAATTGTCTATAATGAATTCCCAACAGCCAACTGTGCTAATGTCTAAGTTGGGTAGTAGACAATCCTTGTAGGCAAAATTCCATATCCACTTACTTTGGAGTAAGTCCAACTGAGCTCAATGGGATTCACTTCTGTGTAGATGAGGGAAAACATGTTTGGTTCACATTTTAATGAAATGTACCTAAGTTCTCCTTGTTGAAACAATATATCAACTGGAATGCAGTCATTCTGGAATATTT